GAGGTAATTTTTTTCCCAATGCCTCCGCTAGGAGTCGAATCCGGGACCTCTGGTTTCCTAGTCTTACGCTCTAACGAATGAGCTATAGAGAAATGTTATCCATCTGAATAAGAATGAAGCGGCTAGTATTTTACTGGGGTGACACACTCAATCTCCAAGAACTAATTCGTTCCGAGGTTCCCAGAGCTCATAGCGATTCTTGTGAAAGTATCGCTGAGCATTCTTGTCAATATTCTCGGGTCCCTTATGTGTTTTTAACAAACAAAGCATCGTCGCCTATGCTGATGACTGCAAAGAGAACACACAGAATGCCAATCAAGTTCCGCCTGCTGTACATGTACATATTTAGATGTTTTGACCAATCTAACTGACCAGCGCTCGACCCCGGAAGATGACCATTAACGATACAAGTTAAACTCGGGCTCAGGATAGATGAAAGATATCACATTAGATTGCGACTAACAATGACTGATTGTCCCTTATGACCTTGTGGGCTGTAGCTGGTGTGAACTCTGATTATGGAAGCGTGTGTATGTGATCAGCATGGCAGGGGCTAGAGGGAGCACGTGCTCATTACAATCCAGAAGGCCATGAATACTAGCTTTCTTTGAAATTATCCGTTGTCGCAGCGGAATTGACCGATTTCTCGGTGATTGGAATTTGGACGGCCTTATGAATATTTATTTCGATACCCATCATATGAATATGTTCTGTTATTAGAAACGCAACACAAACAAACGGCATAAATTGCATAGCTAAAAATAAATAAATCACATTTGGTTTGCTTGAAATATTTCGTTTCATTTTACCAAAAAGTAGGACGAAAACAATTAACTGCAAGGAAAAGAATAAGCACAGCAAGAAACATCATGCAGTTTATTTCTGTGAGCAAATTAACGGCGCTTACCATATTTAAGAGGTAGCTGTGTGGTTGTAATGATACATGGAAAACGTGGCGCAGATGTACTTATACGGTATTATCTGCCATCAGGCTCCGGTTGTAAACTGTGTTCATGAAATGTCCCGCGGAGACCCCATCTAAATCATCTACCGAAAACCTGCAGTAAAACTAAACATTACGTAAGACTAGCACGTGTCAATCACAGTAGGCCGATTAGAAAGGTAACATTTCATGTTTGATGACTCTGGGAGGTACTTAAGAATGGCCAATTGATGCCAACAGGGGAACGTAAAATCCAATTTGTTTCCCAGCAGGTTAAAACAATTGTGTAGGAAATTTAAACCTAATTCATTTTTCCTCGACAAGTTACACAAGCGTCAACACAGCTGGCTATGTAACTGTTGTAACACCAAGCGAAAGGTCACGTACATAGAGTACACGGAAGGTGAAAGGTTAAAGGTGAAAGGTGAGAACGTTCATGCTTATTTGATAACACCTCAGGAAGGATAAGGTGCGCGTGTAACACCAAAAGAACGGTCAAGTATATAGAGTATCTCCTCATAAACGGCCATTATCTACATGTAGTTGACCGTAGTGGGGGATGACCATAGTTGACTGTAGTAGACCGTAGTTAGACGTAGTTCAACGTAGCTATAAGCGTTGTTTGAATTTCAAGAATTCCATGATTTGGCCGTGGTTAGCCCAACTGTTTTCAACATGTTCAAAATATCTCTACGGTGAGCTTGGATGCCACGACCCTACTGTGCCCGTAGTGTGAACGTAGCTGAGTCTAGTTGACAGTAATTGGCATTCGCATGAACTGCGGTCAACTACGTTCAACTTCGTGCGTGACATTATGATGTGACCGCGGCTTAAGGAGGAAAAAGAAACCCCCAGTTCTGAATGGGGAAACACATTAATCACTTCTTCTGGCATCATGCACCGGGGTAAGCATGCGTATTAGTTCGTTTCCCTGAACCTCTAAAGTGGAAAACAATTAACAATATCATGTCCATATAATGAAACTTAAAAACAGCAGGTTGGACGAAGCTATTCAATGTATATTTCACTGTGGCAGTGACACCCAAACCAGTGTTTTGACGCATTAGGTTCCCTGTCCCATTGCAGGTAGGAAACGTTACAGAATTCCACAGTATCTTTTATAGTGTAACCTCCAATAAGTTATGTATTGTATATTGTAGTAGTCGAACTTTGCCAAGGAACTACCGCTGATCGGTGAACTAGGACATAGCGACCGTATTGTAATCGGAGGTCCAGGATTCCAGTCTGGCCCTATTGCAATTATGCTCTCGGGCTGATGTTGACAACTAGTTTATTTCATGTGGTCGGGCAGGTGTCCTTATACCTTCCACATTCGATCGGGGAATCGAACCCCGGCAGTCTTCGTGACGGCGAGTCAGATATCCACTGCGCCACTCGACAAGCGATATGTATATCTGCTGAATTGAATGAAACAAATGTCCCAATGACGGAACTTATGTGGCACTAACAAACTATACTAATTATCGGTCGTAATTTGCTATTACTGGCGTGGAGTCAATACAATTTTGAAATGAATGGACGTCATACAATTGTTCTGACATGGGAATCCTCTCGTCTTTACCCTAGGAGAGTTTGGATATCTCTAGTCTAATGTGGAAAAGTACTTTCTAATACTCTGTGTTTTATAAACCAACGAACAGAAAACTTAAGATTTAAAAAATAACCATGAGATTTACAGGCCTTTTTAATACATCTTCTTGCTGCTAGTAACTTTTCGCAATTTGTAAATATATTAATATTGAATTACAGGCACGTTTTCATAAAAAGACCTCGTTGTAAAGTAGATTGCTATATTTCCTAAGTAACAAATGGAAAAGTTAAATGTATTACAATAAGTACTCGCTTTGTTTGGCCTTCACAATGTTACGTGATAAATTTAAGAATATTGCAATCAAGCATTTTTTAAATACATTTCATATCATTAGAAAAAAAGAAATTTCGTCTTTTGATACAATTGTACAAGATTTCATTCAAAAACATTTCTATAGTAAACATTTTTTTAAATGAAAGCGATATAGATTATTATTCATATATAAACAGAAAAAATGGCTAGTTTTCCCTTAAAATGTGTCCTTCGATACAAAAAATAAAATTCACAAGGACTCGGAACAAAATGATCAAAGGGAAATAATTCTCATTTCCATTGTCGAATTCATGATTTTATAAAAATGCGGTGTTATTTTTAAAGGAAGTTAAAACACCAATTTTTCTCAAATGTATTTTTAGTTATCATGTTTTATTATATGCTATTTATAAGGCTAAATGGGCGGTATACGGTATTTGAATTGTCAACATTTGCTATCAAAACGCCTGTAAACCTAACAAAACACATGCTCTTGACATTAAGAATAATTATTGGCAGGAGTAAATTAGCTGTTTTGTATAATTTCATTGTTTCGTCATTTCGCCCAGAAAAAAACGAGAATTAACAAACTCAATTCTCGTTATTTCGTCTTTTCGGCCCAGACAAGACAAAAACAAAAATTGACAAAAATTAGCCACCGTACAGGAGTAGGTGTTGACAGACACGTTTATAGTCGATAACGTCAGTTACACATTAATTAAATCAGCGCAGATAATTATATTAATGCAAAAAATTACTGGCACGCGCCGTAATTTATTAAACAGCAATGCTTACACAAATATTTATTGGAATAATTAAATGACAAAACGAATTTTCACCAGTCGTAATAAAACTTAATATAACCTTATATCACTATTGCTGTGGGACTAAACGTGATTGATAGTGTACATCACAAACCATTTCATGTTTATTTTAGTAATTTTTCTCTCTCACAAAATCCCAGTATTTCATAATGTGTCTCATTATGGACAAACCAAATACAGGAAGTAGGAAGTACTCAAAAACAATTCCTTCAGAGTTATAAATACGGTCACTTGTTATATCCAGTTTACCACCTAGATTACTTCACATATACTGTATATTACTAGATTCCATGCATACGTTTGCGAAGTTTTCAAACGTGGGACAGAGGTCATACTTACATTATTCGTCAAAGAACAAAATACGAAATATATAAATAGACCTGTCATGTAAAGTCACGATAACAATTATAAATGTTCTATTCCTGTCAAGAACACATTATTGTCTCGAACGCAATCAATTAATTTAGATGAGATTATATTCATGTTTGTTATCATCGGGACAATTTACAGCGAATTAGGCTTTATAGACTTTTAAAGTGATTTCCCCCCCCGATATTTTCTATGACATTTTGAATTGACCTAATGAATTGACTTAACAAAGACATTCAGGCAAGTCGTAATTTTTAGCGGGAATATTCGACTCGCAGATAAACGGCTGTGACTGATCTCATCCAAATAGTTGGTAAAAAAGCATCAATACACAAGTACTTGATAAAACGAAAAGTTTCAAATCGAGGAGACATCAACACAAACAAAGACATTGATAACCTCCAGAGTCGAATCCGGTGTGTTCCGGAAAAGTGTACTTTTTCCGACACCACATGTGGAATCTGTCCTGAACGCCAAGTTCAGTGTACGGATTTTCGTGGTGGTTGACTGTGAGTTTCTCTTTAGATATTTCTTTGTTTTTCTTGCTGCCATTTTGCGTTGACTATTGAGGATACTAGCCCCGTCTTAAGAATATTGAATCATTCAGAAAAAATCGACTCTGATAATTTTGATCGGTTGGATGTCTGATTCCAAGGTTCAAACTAGAAGGAGGTAAGCTAGTAGTAGAATGAAGCTGGAATATTCTTCACAACACTTCAAGCCAGTCTACCCTACGACATTCACTGACCCATTTTACGTTTTTGTATTGTTTTCCATTTTATTTTCCATCATGACATAATTATATTTCTTGTTTTTCGGCATGATTTTGGTCTATTGGGTGTTCAAGCGACTACATATTATATTTAAGTAACATTTGTTTTGTGTATAATGTTACCTGTATTTCATAATAAGAACATGAACGACTTTCTTCTCATAATATATACTAATACTACAACTATTATTTGATGAGGATAAGAAAAACTTAAGACACAAAATCATGATATAATTTATTCATAGAAGCACTTTCAATGACTTCAACGACTCAATAACAATCACTTTCAAATTTTATTATGTGAACATAGCTATGCAATACATATCATTCATCATGGATATTTAATTGTTGCTCTGTTAAAATAGTATATTAGTATATTTAAATATCTAAGCCTCATATATACATGTTGGAACACCTTTACACACATACTGGTTATAAAGAGCCGTTTTTAAGCATTTCATGAATATTATCACTTCAATGGTATACAATTTACATAATCTCATCATGCCTTCTCATTAAAATCACACCATACACATTCATAATATCGTACTAATTCTTTTTAGGCAAAATCATTCGCACCGTTTTTTTTTAGTTCAACAAACTCACATCCCAATCAACCCTTCCGGCCAACCGAAATAATATTTCAACCATGCCCGTTTCTGATACGCGCACAACAAGAAATAGTGCGCGGATTTAGCTTACAGCAATAATTGAAACGCGTAACTCCGACTACCATCGAAGTCACTAGTATCTGACATGTACATGAGTACGGACGAGTCTCAAAATTGAAATAAACCAGAGTATAGTTTGATACATCTGTGGCACACTAACGAACACACATGTCCAGCAGCAGGTTCTGTAAGAATGTGATGACAAATTTCATTTTAGATGACAGAAACGGACAACAATTTCACCCGATACGTCTTGGCAAGAGGTTCTAGTAGTATGCGCAATAGTTCTGTTGACCAATATCAAGCATTAACGCGCAGGAACATGCTTGTGACTAGAGCGCATCGTTGGCAACACAATGATATGCCATTAGCTATCAATTTAACTTTCTATGAAAGCGCATAATACACAAATAAAACATGTATAAGTAAATGACACCAGTGTCATATAGAAATGATACCAGCTATTATGGAGGCATTATAGTGGCCCTGTACGCGGGTTCAATGCTTCTCTATATCTTTTTCAGAAGAAATGCCACAGATTTTAATTTGGTTATGCTATATGTGTCTACTGAGATATATACGGCAACTTCACAAACAAATTTTGATCATTTCTTATAATTTCATTTGCAAGGCAAACAACCTTTTATTCCTTTTGGACAAATTAAAAATGTGCGTAATTCTTTTTATATAATCAATTTTTGACCGATCACAAATGAGCATTTCATTTAACGCGCTAGTCAGTGATTCACAATGATGTCAACCAAAACTACAATGTTTGTAATAGGCAAAATAATAACAATCATCCTAAGAGGACATTAGGTCACTGCTTATTACAGCAAAATGGAGTTGGTTAACACATATTTGGGTCAAAATAAGTGTTTCATTTGTTAGCAATATGTTTGGTATTACTGAGTATGTAAATGTAGCGTCCTCTTGGGTTAATAAATGAAATCCTCGAGTCACTGAATATTAAACTTTCAACCGAATAAGCATTTGGCCATTTATGTGTATCATGGACAACTCCTATATTAGGCTGTTCATATCTGTAGATGTATATCTGTAGATGTGATGATTGAAACATTTATCTCAACATTAACGAAAAGAATATATATTGCAACCTGTTCCTTCCTCTTGCGTTTTCATGCATGAAAATGTATTATCTCAGCCATGTTATGAGTTGCCTCCCTTCTTCCCCTTTGACAAATGTGTGTGATAGAGTAGTCTCCCCTAGGCTTAGTTTCCAGCTGATGAGTATCGTTGCAGTAGCAAAGTTTGACAAGAATCACAGACACGCACAGGCTTAGCTGATGAAGGTAACGGCATCTTATTGTCTGAACATTCATTACAGAAAATCTCACCACAGTTCCGACAATGATGCTGCAATTAAAATATTTAGATTAAATCAAAAGAAAAACACACAAAAAGGTAAACAAATTCCAAAAAATAGAATATTTCTTGGTCGGATGAAGTAGAGCTATGATTTTTAATTATGATGATATTCTTGATTTCTTTTTAAGTAGAAATTCATCAAAATCTATTTCAACTTTAATCAACTTTAACATTTATATCGGATCAGTTGAATAAAATGGAAATGCAAAACTTTAAAGGTATCATTTACATGTATCTCAGATAAAGTGGAAATATGAGTAAAATACGACCAACTAAAATATCTAATGAACAATCCCTGATATCCCCTAAAATCGGTCCTGAAAGAAATAAACATAGGACTTGTGCTAATGCCTACCGTTTAGATATCCCGCTAGTATTAACATTCTGTATTAAAACAATACTAATTCCAATTATTTTCCATGAAAATATTCCTCCTAACTTTAACAGTTAATATCAACAAACCTCCCTTCCAGCTTAAACTGTAAATTACAACGAAACGACTTCCTAGTTTTATCAGTAAATAACAGAAAACCTTCCCACTAGATTAAACAGTTAATAACAAAAAAACCTTTCTTTTAGCTTTAACAGCCATTAACAGATATTTACATTTGCTATGCATCCTTTCATCGCAATGCATTGCGAAGGCAAATGTGTTATGAGACTATAACAACATCTGCTATTGTGACGTCATCAATCTCTATTGTGACGTCATCAATTTCAATGTTCTCAACACTGAATTTGCTGTTAAAAACTGTTCGAAATAACTAAATAAAGCATAGCTACTCTATCAAAACGTAAATATATGTAATGAATATTTTAGCAAATATTTGTATGGTCCTATAACACCGGTTTTTTTAAAGTTTGTCAGCAATAGTAATGTGTGTTATAGGACCATAACAACATTTGCTTAAACATTCATTGCATGAGCATTCTTCTAAGTTACACCAGTAATTAACAAACCTTTCTCCTAGCTAAAGAAAACTCTTTATCACAGCTACTACACTGTAAAGCATCCTTGTCGCTCATCCATGCAGCTTCTTTAGTCACTTGGCTTGCTTCTCGCATGTCCTCAACCTTCAGCTTTGATCTAAAATAGATTAAATGTATTATATTTAAAATTTTCTTAAAGACGCAAAAAAATCATACAGAGTCAGACGGTCGACTGTAAATTAATTGAAGATGTCTTTTTGTAAATAAATTAAAGATGTATAAATACAGACTTTAAAAAGAAAAGTGACATATAACAGATGAAAAAGGAACAGAACGATTTCCCATGTTCAGGTGTGGTGCTACTCTGCCGGTCGGCGAATATTGAAATAAAGACAACTGTGTATCCCTTTTAAATAGTCAAAAGAAACAATGGTCATTGCAGAAAAAACAAAATGTTTATATATTTTTTTATTAGGACTTCACTTCATATTTCAAATTCAACTGCTGATCTTGGGACAAAAAGTGATATTTCATCTAGTCATCCATTGACGTCGATACAACGAAGTCAACGTTGTGACGTTAGCGACAAAATATTGATAATTCTATACCAGTCACTTAAAATCTTCAAAGTGACAGAGCAATGGCAACCGACAATACTGGACGTGTTTCACATCGCAATAATTGCATTTAAACGTTACGAAAAAATGTATGTCATTGACACATCTATTAACCAAATCATTCTAGCATAAGCAAAAGATGGGAACGCAACGATTATGCAAATGACATTTTAAACTTTTTTTCCAACGCTACTAAACGGTAAATTTGTTAATGTCGTCACACCTAGAACTATGATAACATTATCATTTCCCCTTATGGTGTTGTTGATGTTAGTAATATCAAATGTATTTACCTTGCCTTTTCAAAACGATTCATCAGTTTGGAAATATGCGATATCAAAGTTTTACTTTCTACACAAACAATATACGTATTCAACGTGTCGCTTCGTTTCAAGACCGACTGGTCGCTTTGCCAAGCTATGACTGTGTGACTTTGATGTTTACCTTGTCGATATCTTATGTCTACATGTATTCATAAGATTGAATTATATATACATTGATATGCTTACTCGCTTAGATGGGAGCCGAGTTCTGCTAGGGTCCTTTCCTGTTCCTCACACGTCTGTTGAAGGCCCATGTGCATTTTTTGTAATGATTTATATTCCTGAAAACAACCAAGATGTAAATATATAGATTGTAGAAAAAAATAGATATATGTATCATGTATTATTGATCTCCATTTGGATCTCGACTGTAGTGTGAAGAGTTATGTTCATCAGATTCTGCTGGTTTCAATGGAAATAAATGAAAAGCTGGAAAGTCATGTAAAATTGCTCCACCAAGCGTTTACCCCCGGTTACTGCTATAAATGTGATGGGTATAGTAAAGATATTGAATCTGGAAGGTTTCAATGTTTATACAAGTATGAACGGGGAAACATTTACTTGCACACCACATGAGCGGCCGTAGCTTGGTCAAAAAATGGGGAACTAAAAACCTCAACAAACATAACTATTATTAACAGCTGCTTTTTGGGTCACATGTGCTACTAATAACCAATCACAGTATGTGTAACAAAGGGCAAAATCTTAGATGGAATAATGTACCGATAATCACTTAAACAAGAGGCCCAAGGGCCTTAGCGGTCACCTGAGTTATATTATAGGTACTGGTAGCTTTATTTTATTGTTTAGATGTGATGTGGAAATCAGCATGTAAACTAAGTGAAATACAATACTTGTCATGTCATCAAAGGATAAGAATTTGAAAATATTGGTAAATGTTCCCTTTCGGGGCCCCGCCCTAGCCCCTGGGGATGGGACAGGAATCCCAATTTTACAATGTAATACCCTCATTCTTCAAAGATGATTTGACTAAGTTTGAGTAATTTTCTGCTGAAAATGGATAAAATATTCTCAAAAGTGTTATTTCCCTTTATAAACTATAGTAAACTTTACCCCCTCCCCAAGAGAGAACGGATAGCTCGGGGGTCCTGAAATTTACAATTTGAGTAAAGCCCCTGATGATCTTCCTTTCCATACAGAGAAAATGACTGTAGTACCTCTGAGTCTGGAAAAGAATTTTTTGAAATATTGGTTAATTTTCCCTTTGGGGCCCGCCCTGGCCCCGGGGGTTGGGGTAGGAATCCTGACTAAGTTTGAACAAAATCCACTCACTGGTTCTTAAAAAGAAGTTGAGATGTAAAAAAATTACGGACGACGGACGACGACGGACGGACAGTTGATATTCAGTTTAGATCAATGCCAATTGAACACTGTCAAATTCAACAAGAAGCACATGCGTGTTTATGAATTTCTAATGCACCGTTGGCATTTAAACGATGCAAACTGACTTTGACAAAGATGGAGAACAGTTAATCGCGCAAATACAACTGACAGAGAGTCTACCTTTTCCACCTCCTTGACTTGGGTATATTCAGCCTGTAGCTGGGCAGCCGTTTCCTTCTCCTGTTCCAGGGTTTTCTGAAGCGTTCCTCGCCATTCCCGTTCTATTCTAAGGTCTGTCTCTAACGCCGTTCTGGTGACAAAATATAACATATACGATATCAATCAAGGCAACCCGATACCAACCAGGTTTGGACTTTCTGTAATCATTCATGCTGCTGTTAGTCTCCAGACAAAACAATATGCACGCATGGAGAGACGGACGGATGGATATTGCGCATGATTGCTGTATTCCCATTAATAAACAACGAAAGAAGCTAGACAACGTAATTGAAATCTTAAACTGTAGTCAAATGAACTTACAAAAGCAAAGGAAAAAACAAACATAAACAACAATAAAAAAAATACGGTTTTTTAAATTCCTAATAGGTGACAAATGCAAATCGTTTCATAAATTTCTTAATTACACTTCTTCAAATCGATCGGTTTTTTTCCCCCATTACAACAGCAGTGTGTACATGCATATGATGAATAATATAATAACAATTGATAATTAATCGTCAATTCTTGAAAAGAAAAAAAGTATAAGGAGGGGGGCGAGGAACTGAACAAAAGACACTTGTCTTTTGGACTTAAGAAAGACCTAATAGTAGCCAATATGTGTATATTTTAACAATGAAATGGCTAATTTCTAAATTGCCTCAGATCAAATCAGATTGCAAATATATCGTCGATATGTACTGAAAATTGATATTTCTGTCTCAGAACAAAGAAGCTTGGTAGCTAATATTGTTTCATGATTATTCATGGTTGATTGAAAACACCTAGCAGAGATGTTCATATGATGGACAGGCTTACACTAAGAATGTGCAATAATAACCATGGATACTAAAACTACCAACTTTAAAATACCGAAGGATGCGAGGAGAAATTATTGATGTATTTAAGATTTATAACAAAATATTTGATGAGAGAGGCAGCAATGGACTCTTTGTACACGATAATTTATAAAGAACTCGAGGTCATTCACAAAACTTAAGGACGAACCATCGTAATTTACATCTCAGAAAATTCAGTTTCAACTTCAGGAAAATAAAAATATATAGAACGATTTCCCACAGAGATTTATAGACAGAACAACAATTAAAGAATTCGAGGTCAGTTTAAATGAACACTGGAAAATTAAAGACATGAAATATGACCATTTGGCAAATTTAAAAGTGTTTTACATGTACTTTAAAATTGATATGGATATAGCGCTAGATATTTTCCTGCGTCCATCTTTTATCCTTTTTAATCCTATTAAATTAAATGAGCAATTGTCATACGTGACGTCATTAAATTGCTATTTTGTTCAGTAGCAGAATATCTTCGGACACCCTGAATACAGTAATGGTTGGACGATACACGGCATGTAACATCCACTAGATGTGTTTTAAATAGTGGGCTATACGCATGACTTAAGCTTGCGACTGTAAGACAATGAAGCTATTCTCAGACAAACTCTGTATCAACAATGAACACAGGGTCATAACCCTGTTTGCAATAGAACACCAGACCCGATTTCTGCCAATACAAGGCACTTCGGCTTATTAAGTTACATTGGAAGCCTCGGGTGTAGAATTGTGTTATCTAAGCTCTCGTTAAAACAAATGGTAGCTTTATTATATTTTAATCACCAAGCATGCCTTATCTCGTTTTCATCACCTTGAATAAATGTCACGTTATTACATTTTAGATTATATACTCACTTTTCCCTTATGCGATTTTGGAACATTTCTTTTTTCTTTCTTTTCAGATTGGATTGAAAAACGTTAAATGTATTTACGCCTGCATACACAAAACGCGATTTCTATCGGCCTGTCTGTACTTAATGCCTTTCTTGGTAAAGAAATTAATCTTTTGTTCGCCTTCAACGCCTTTCTCGTAATGAATATAAATTTTCATTATATATCTGTTCTCAGGTGCAACATCATCGTGGTTTTGCTGATTTTCTGAAATCCAATCATTTAAGAAAAAAAGTTCCCAGTCAAACTTCACGAAATACTTTCAACTCTGATATAATTCAAACAAGCAAATTCGTGAAATTTATATCCCCCGCTTGCAGGACGCATTGTAGGTAAATATTATTGAGGTTAGGTTTAAACATGTGAGTATCGTGTTGTTGAGACATAATGTACAGCTTGAAACTCGAAGAAAATAAAAGCCTTATACATAATTTAGACTTTTTGTTGAACATGTAGGTATTACGGTGTAAATTAATCGTTAAATCCATCAGAATTTACTAACCTCATTAATTATCGATAAATATGCACAAATGACATCGGTTAGCGGATGTGCATACGGAATTTGGTTGAAATATCTGCACAATATCTACAGCAATTGTCACGCGAAAACCAAAGAGTGTCCGAGATGGGTGGAAAGACAGAGGAACACAAACATTGTTATGAAGTTTGAAGGAATTTGGCTTATGTTTGCTAGAGTTATTTAGTGGAAACTGCAGATAATGACGTTTTTCGTTAATCAAGGGGCCATAACTCCGCCAAATGAAATTCGATTTTAGTGGTCGTCGAACCTGGCCGAGCCCTTCATGCATTGAACCCTGTTACTCAGTTTGAAGACAATCGGATAATATTTGCAAGAGTTAATGAACAGAAAAGGCAGATAATGACGTTTTTCGTTATTCAATGGGCCATAGCTCCGCCAAATAAAGTCCGAACTCATCGAACTCTTAAGACATTCAATCCTGTTACCAAGTTTGAAGAAAATCGGCTAACATTTGTTGCAGTTATTGCACGGAAAAGAAGCGTGACAGACGGACAGACAGACAGACTGACAGATGGACAAACCCAAATTAATATTTCTAAATGAACACAAAACTACCCATGGCCATAAAGCTTCCCGCAACGTTGTCAACAGGGGCAGATAAAGGCGTGTCCGACTGTGGAGAGCAACACAACAAAAATAATAAATAACATTTCGATCAACACTTCTTTATTTAATATATATATATATAAAAAAAAGAAAAACCTAAAAAGAGAGAAGAATTTTGGGATTTTGATGATGTCATAGCATATTGTAATGCCATATTCACATCACATACAACCGTTTTGCAAAGTTGCTATTGTATGTATTGTTGTTTTGTACTGTAGGCATGGCACATTTGTTTTCACAGAAAAAAATCAACTAATGGGATTTGGGGATTTGCGTATTTGATGTAAAAGCAAAGAAAAATAATTCAATGTTTTAATTTTAATCATGCAAAAATATTTTGACCATAATGGTCCTATCTTACCGTTTACAGTCTTTATCAGCTATAACCTGACCCAGTTTTCGGGCTGTTTCCTCGGCAGCCATTTTGTCAGAATCTGCTTGTTTAAGTCTGTGGTAACCATGACAACAGAAGCCGCAACACATAAAACATGCAAAAGAAAAGAAAACAAACACAAATGAGGGAGGAGAAACAAAAGCAATATATGATAAAATGGTTGTTATTAACTAACTTTTATATATCTTTTGTATATTGTTGCTCGATGTAAAACCTGAAAACAACTCAAGCACTTACTATGCAAATATGGAGGCAAGGCTTAAGGTTTGGCTAACGATCTCAAACGGGCGCACTCAGTAACCTCTACTATTTTAACTTCACAATCAAACGACGGCGTTTCATTTTGACGTCACAATTGAAAACGCGTCAATACGTCGTTTGACAGACTGTGGCTATCTTGCCGTCGGCAAGAGACACCGCTTCAAGAACACAGGAATTGTTGAACAAGCTTGCCCTAAAGGTCTTGCATGGATATTTATATCTGAGGTATACTTATGTTATACATTCATCAGATCTTTCCTAATATGGCCGTAGTATACGTTATCTAGAATTTTTGCTATATTTACGTTGCATTTGCCTCGTCTGTGTACTGTTTTACTAAAAGTTCAATTAAGAGGTAGGAGAAAAAGAGTCCATCATTATGTAGGTATGTGTGATATGGATAATCTACCGAACTGCGCAGAATTTGGTGTCAGAAGGTCGTCAAAGCCTCGGTTATGACCAACTTTCTACACCCTTGGGTATAATATCCATATACAACATACCTACATATGATAGACTATTTATTGTATCTCATATGCCTCTACTAGACATGGCATCCAACTAAAAATACTATACTATGGGATTTTCTTATGATTATATACTGAACGACTTTCAAATTACAACATTAGATAACGGGGGTATTCTTGTTAAAACGCAAAAGCTTTTCTTATATACATGTAACATGCTTTAGGGTTGAAACATATCCGCATATCCAACTGCTTCAAAATTAAGATTTCGTCGTCAATGGCCGTTCCAGGTTTCTTGCAAATCAACATAAATAATCTGCTAATTCTTTTCATATCTGTGTTGTTACTGACGTTTAAATTGAACAAACATATAGACTCCAAGAAGGAAGTGACGTACCAAACCAAAAAAGCCAACGACACGTACGCTTAACGACACTTCAAAATGACTTCCAAATTCGACCGTCACATATATTGGAACGTTTTAAAACAATGATGAGAAGGCCTGCATATAAACCGTAACTAGTAGCATTTCATCAATAATAGTGAAAACCAAAACGTTAAAGTTGCAAAAGTACGGGGAAAAGCACGGCAGGGATCTATGTTTAGCTTTATTTTTAGATATCCTGTATTAAGAAAATGTTTTAAAAACCGTAAAGGAGCGTTCGACATAGGTAGCCCTTTGGGACTTTGTATATCAAACTGTAGTGGATTTTAATCGTAAAACAAAAAGGAAATTCATTCCGATGTTGAGAATTTTACTTTTATTGTTTGACGACTTGCATATTATGCAACCATGAGACATGACTACTTTTGAATCGTCTAGTTATCCAGATTACCGTATAAGAGCTGCAAAGGTCAACCAATAAATCCATCGGGCTCAAGTGGGACTATGAAGGGTAGGATCAAGACCTGTTGTTTCACCTTCATCAGATATTTAACATGAAAGTCGACACAATGGAATTGCTAAAGAAAGTCATCTTGAAGCACAAGGAAACGTTTTATTTTGCACTTTCTCAACGGTTGCTCTCATTTTGTATCTTGAGGTTTTCAAGATTCTGTACCCCAAATACTATTTTTTTTATAACGGGCAGTCCTTGACAAATTTGGGTATGAACACCTGTTTATGGGTAAAAAAACTGTTATTTTGGGGTTTGAGGGAACACTGTAAAATTCATATGTTCTGCGAACGTTTCAACTATTTTTTTTATCGAAAATTCGTTCTCGATTGTGACAATCGATGAACTAATATTTTCAAGAATGTAAAATGCCAAATAAAACTCACATAACTATTTATAAGTGTTGCTACTTAAAAGCCACTAAGGTTATATTCGTAATTTTTCCCAGTATGAAAGGAATTTCCCTATGACCATTAAAATAATAGTCAATAAAACTAACGATAAGATATCTCATCGTCTAAAAAATTAAATATCAACGACACATCGAGATTGTCATAATACAAACAAAACAGAACGAAACAAGACAGCGAACTATGTTTACATTATGTCTCAGTAGTTCCAACATCATCAGACAACTCCGTGAACAGAAAGATTTTACATAATGCGTATAACAATTTTCTACGCAACGTACGCAAAGTAAAAAATGTGAAGCATATGTTTTCAGATTGAAATAAAGGATCTAGTTGATATATATATATATGTGTGTATATACAATAAAAACATGTATATCTATAAAACCACAACAGTGAAATTAGGAATACAAAACAAAAGCACATCTACAAAATAATGCTTATATAAACATATTTATGTTTAACTGATCACATATCAGCTACCGCCAAACCCCAGGACCCCTCACACACATCAAGGGGACATTTTCTGATGGTACACTTTAACTGATCATGAACGATATGCCGGTTGTTGAAACGTTTTCAGTTGGGAACTTATAATGGGCTTAGAGGGAGCCGCAAACTTTGTTTTGAAACTGTTTTTGTAATTATATTAAGAATGGTTTCATCTTTAATTCATATAATTGAACATTACTTAACTAAAAGGAATATTGTTGATCTTTGAAATGTTTTATTCCAAAGGGACGTAGCACATGTATCACCCATCAGTTTCTTATACTATTTGAACAGTATGTATAAGAGATTAAAATACGTTCTCTTACTGAATACCATGGTGGGCATCTCGGATTTCTGACTGACCAAAATAATTCAAATATTAAACAACACTATGGACAATGAAAGGAACATTTATACAAAATCTTATTCTAAACCGATCTGGTAGAATTGAGAATTTTCAAAACATGTCTGCATTGTATAGAGCTGGACAGATATATTGCATCTGGCATCTACGGCAGCTGCTGCATGACAGAAACATCTAGATAAAGCCAGGATTTTACCATTGACGGTGAGAATAACTGTAGAAAATGTCTACCAGTCATATAAAATTATTGCTTTTTTATGCATTCTTTCATCCGCACTAGAATGGTCGGTCTTTCATTGCTATACTCCTATTTCCCCCATGTGACACTGCCCCTCTGCCTGCAGAACAAATTTGGTTATAATGTTGTCAGACATTCACGAGAAGCATGCTTTGATAGGGGCAACAGTACCGTCATAACCTGACATTTCCTGAAGGGTCTGCAGACCTTAAAACGTTTTAAAATGTGCATTTTCCCCCCACAATCAATAATATTTCATTTTTATGAAAATCTGTCGTAAGTTACAGGATTACTTTATATATCCATACACTGACGACATAAACATAAAAACTATCAAGATTATTAAATATATTTATTTCAATTATATCCACAAAATGTTCAGTGTGGTTATTTCAGAATAGTTTTCTAACCACGTTTGCTCGAAACTAAGGAAATTTTGTACGGAAAAGGCAAACATGGCCCGTAGAAAACCGGCTGGATATTGGGACATGAACTGTATCATAAACATTTTACTTCAAAGCATTTTAATTGCTAAACAATTCTATTTAAAATAATCATATCCCGATAAGTTAGTGACATCAAGCGTATTTGTTCAACACTCGCATAGCTATGACAAGTACCAAGATACTCGTATAAGATACAAGAAGCACTAGGTTTACCAATCAAATAACACTATACTACAGCGTTCCACGTGAAAGCCATGTCATGATTACTTAAAGGAAATAGTAACATACAGTATGTACTAAAACACGACTGCAGCCAAAATTTGAACAAATAAAAAAAAAAAAAATGAAAACTAGAACACGCTTGCCGTAAGTCGGGCCCCTAACGCCCATAAAACGTTTCTGAACAATGGTAATCAGGGTGTTATGTTGAATTCGTGAGAAAGACCAAGGACAAACAAGGCCTAGTGGGCGAGTGTTTAGTACCGGTACAGACGGTTCCTCTTGGCGAGATAATTAGCATACAGTGTGCTTACTTGATTTGGTAAAGCACCTGCTAACGATATAAAAGAGTTTCGAAGGTAGACCCGCCTGAATACCAGAGATATAATCAAACATAATCTATTATGAGCTAACGGCACAATACGAACACATCAGCCGAATACATTTATGTCTATCTTTTCTTTAATAATTGTTTTGATGAATGATATATTATTTACAACATGTACAGTTATCAATACATAGTTTCTCTATACAATTTGCAAGTAAAGGTACATTCGTACAATTATAATGAGTAATATTCTGGAAATAAACAAACAAAAGGTTAGTAATCAATAATGAGCATCTCTATAGGTGATTTTATTTGCTGTAAGAAACAAATTACCAACAAAAATTAAATTCAAAATCATCTCATAACATACAATGACCTTGTTTACAGTTGGTAAGCTATCAACAATTAAATCATTTCTAAAGTTTATCGGAAGCGCATGTTTGTCAAATACTTTAAGCGGTAGCAATATAACATCCTCGAGAGCACAGGGGTTAAAAGAGCGTTAGTGAGCGTAACCCCTGGAATTTTGAGGTAATATAACACGTTTTATTGATGTGGATTATGAAATGAAACATGAAATAGACATTTTATATAGTGTAAATCGTGTATGCAAATGGCCAATGTTTTCATACAAAATTTCAGTATACCCCTATTTGCTCAATTTGACAAAACCAATACGTGGCATATTATTTAGAAATATTATACGAATGTTATTACTGCAATTTTATTACAACGCTGCATTTCAGTTAAGTGTAAGTGATATCACTTCTTCAGATTGATTGTTGTGTACCAATAAAAAACAAGGTCACCCAATCTAAATGAAATAATTCAGATATTAAGTTTTGTTGATTTACTTTCTTTAAGTACTCATTATTAAAACTAGCACATCAAAATAAATTGTGTGAAGGGGTTAACCTTTGATTGTACGCAGTTTGTTTATGTTTTAATCTACGCAGTATAAGCAAACTGATGGTCCTTAACAGGTCTCTAATTAAACCTAAATTGCTGGAAAATGTATCCTATTTGTCTATAGTACATATGGGATTGACAACCTAATCAATATTCCATATTTGCAATTCTGGCGCTTTGCAAGTGAGTCACCAACTGCTAGTAGTACATATAAGTAAAATTAAAAGTTTAACCAAACTCTTCAAACTGTTACATTAAACCTTTTACAATATTGGTGTCTTAAATCATAAAACGGACAATTTCGAGTTTTGACACAAATCTTTGCAAGGTGTGGATATTTCGTTAAGGAAATGGTGCTGCAAGTTACATTTTACAGGGCGTCACTATACTGCATGGTTAAAATTCGTGTTTGCATGTATTAACGCGAAATAAGCGGAATTCTGCACACTGCAAAAGCGATAAACCATTAAATTTATAAACCCATTACTATTGGGAATATTCAAAGTTACAATTAACAATTCATTAAAAAAGACCATTCTACATATGTTAAATAAACTAAAACAAAATATTATTTTTTATAGCGGAAAGAACCGGTGAAGATATACTGCGAGCTACGGTGAAAAGGGTTATTGAGCCACCCACCTCTTCTCCATGTCTTTAAGTGTTGTGACAAGTTGCGTAGTTTTGTCTTCTAGTTTCATCACCAACTCCGTTTTGTGTTTTAGACTTTGGTCACAGGACTGTGGAAGATAAACACAGACGAAGCGAATGAATATACATAATATGTAACGACCATAAAATAACAAAACATATCATTTTTGTTTACAACATATATGTACCAACATTTTCATTCCTAACAAAACTATCACCAATCTACACCCCTGTCTATTCAGTAAAATAATAATTATTATTTGAGAAAATTATAATTACATCAGTAAAAGCCTTGCAAAATAGTGCCTCAAAAAACAGGAGACAATGACAAGTTCTAATTTAAATTCATCGATGTAAAACTGCAGTGGTGGCGTATTTGTGACTTTCAGATAAATGGCAGCTTTGTCTTCGTTGTACAAATTCCTCTGACATTCATCATAATATAATAAGACAACAGTAAAGCATAGCTCTGACATTGTGTCAGAACACAAGGACAAATTCAGCACTCAAAGAAGACTGGAAAATTAAACGAAGGATATATCAAAAATATCAAGGGAATTAATCTGCAACAGAAGGAAACCACTCTCTTGCCATAAAGACTTCAAAGTTAGAAAGGGTATTGCAGAATAATGTTATATTGTATGCGCTTTCTTTGTCAGTGACACTAGAAAATACTTAGATTTATGTTTGCCATTTACCACACAGCTGATACATTCTGTAAATTTTGATTCGGGAAAAATTAAACAAATTCCAAAGACAAGGTATTCAGATTGATATGTCACGCCTGTGCTCCTCTTTGACCATCAATGCACATGTCAAGTGTGGTAGGTCTAGCACTTATAGTTTCTGAGAAACTAACTTAAACGCAAAAACTTAATGTTGATAGAGATGCTAACAAAATCAATGCACTATGAAAGGTAGGCCACATCCAGGATTTGATGCATGGCTTGAGATGGACTACATAAGATGCAACTATATGGTCCAAGTTTGGTTGATGTAGCATTTATACTTTCATTGAAACTAAGTTAAACGCAAAACCTTAATGTTGACGCCGCCGCCAGAAAAGCAACACCTTTGTCTCGCTTCCGCTACTTCGTGGCGGCGAGACAAAAACGATATAATATGATGAAAATTGTGTTTTAAGTCAGTATCGCTCAACTCAGTATGTAGTTATAGTTTATATATAAATGCATATATGTACATTCCATCGTGCAATTGTTCCATTATACGAATATAAATCCAGCATTTCTCTAAACGCCAAACCAAAAACTATTTTTTATATTTATCTTACTTTACACATTCGTGAAATACTCTATGTCGCAACAACTACTAACCTCGGGATATTCATAAGGGATTATACTTCCCGTCATGGTACATCGAATTTCCGATGCGCACAGACTAATGGTGATGAAACGGGATAAAATGGTAAGTTCTCATTAAATATCCCGCTACAAAGTAATTATTTTTTCTGGTAAACATCAATTAAGATTTTTAATTTGACTTTTAGATTAATGAACCAAATGCCTTCCTTCCTGGGATAGTTCACAAGGGATCTGTATCGCAATAATTGCTATTTTGTTTTCGGTTTGATATTTAATTTCTACGATTCCACATATACGTATTGGCCCCAGGACGATTGCTAATTCTGTAAGTAGATCAATATGCTTGATTAGAATATCTCAAACCTTAAATCCAGCGATAGAAGTCGTCCTGAAATTATTACAGTTTATATAAAATAATCCAGAAGTAGTCTTTTGAATCATATATATTGCATTTATTATTCCAGGATTCCTCTATTTGTCTGTAAGTCAACATCCTCGATAGTCCAGGGGTTAAGCTCACGCTCGCTCTCTGCACCCATGTAAGAGTAAAAGTGAGTATCGAGGATGGTAAAGTCAATGGCCTGTGCATATCATACAACATTATATTTCATATTGCAGCGTTTTCGATCGTTTGCGTCCTCAATATTTCCGGGGTTATGCTCACAAACGTTGTTTGTACCCCTGGCAAATGTCATAACAAACGCGAAGGCGCGCGGTTAGCAATTTGAATGGTTCCAGGTACAAAAACCTGACGAATCGCTAGACTGATGCCTGCCTTTGAAAAATAGTGAGGAACATCACCCGACTTCAAACCTAGTTCATTTTACCGTTTTGCTGCCGCGCATTTCTTTTGATGTACATCGCAAGATACAATTAGTCTATGTTGTATCATCCACAAAGCGTCCCACCCAGGGCCTTTGGTTTTGTCATGACATATTCCAAGGGTGCAGAGAACGTATGAAAGCGTAACCTCTTGAATTTCGTGGATGGTTTTTGTTATCCATTGTCTTACGCAAATTGGAGCGGTTTCCGCTCGTTACAGGAGGTATTCACACCGAATTTAACACGTTAAAGATAAAATGACAATGTTTTAGACCAGTTACTCACATATTTTTTTTTTCATTTTTTTAACCATTTTAACTTAATTTACATAAAACACCAATGCAAAAAAAACCACCTTGTTTTTAATATAATACATGCGAAAGAATGCATTTTGAAATGATCCATGCTGATGCTTTTGTATACAGTGTATACCATTTCCTTGTTGTTGATTAATTTATATATATTCTGCAACAATTATAAAACAACGTCTATCAAGAACAAGAGGCCCAAGGGCCTTAGCGGTCACCTGAGTTATATCATAGATACTGGTAGCTTTATTTTATTGTTTAGATGTGATGTGGAAATCAGCATGTAAACTAAGTGAAATACAATACTTGTCATGTCATCAATGGATAAGAATTTGAAAATATTGGTAAATGTTCCCTTTGGGGCCCCGCCCTAGCCCCTGGGGATGGGGCAGGAATCCTAATTTTACAAAGTAAAACTCTCATTTACCCAAGATGATTCTGACTAAGTTTGAGCAATTTTCTGCTGAAAAT